GGGGGGGAGGGGCGCTCGGGTCCCGCCAGGCCAGGGCTTGTATCTTACTCCCTTCGCAAGGTGCTGGGTTGTTGCATGTGTGGATGTGGTCTGGATGTTGTCCTGTGTCCTCTGGTCTCTATTTTAGGAAGAGTTTTTTTTGTTATATTTTCATAGCTCTATGTGTTTTTGGGAGGAGATTTCCACTGCTCTACTCACGCCGCCATCTTGGCTCCGCCAGACACATAACCTTTTGATTGAATGTTTGACTTACATCTCATTGGCTCCACGGGCAAAGGGACTTCTAGCTGTGAGAGAGGTTGTAAATACGTAGGTTTTAAGTTGTAAGGTTGGACCAGTGACATGTCCCATAAAATAGGAGGTTTTTATTCAAAGATTAAAGGAGAATGCAAGTTGGGGTAGTCATCTAATAGTCTCCCATGAGGCATAATAAATATTTGTTGAGTGCAGAAACGAGTGAGTGCCTTTGAACGCAGGAGGACTGAGAAAAAGCAGGGACTGATGGACATAGCATACCCAGTTTTGGGGAGAAAAGATGCAGGAGTGTTTCATCTCTATGTTCAAAAGACCAACTTTTTAAAAACTTACAGGAATCTGATAGCTTGTGCTCTTCAAGATGAGTATTTCAAGGTGTTCCAGATCTTGTGTCTGTGTGCATGAATAGCACTTTTTTACATAGCTGAATATTTTTTACCAGTCATGGAACAAATTATAAATTTAATTCAACTTCAGTTGCTGATGCTTTGTCATCTATCACTTATATCTTTAGAAATTAACTCCTTTCTCTTGAAGAATTTGCCACTTCTAACTAGATTTAAAACTTCTTAGGGGCCAAGTAGAATATATATGAAATCAGGGGGCAATTTTATGCTTTTGAGGAGAAGGGTAGCAGGTTACATATTAGGTTCTTTTATTTCTATACTTGAATAGCTAGCTTATCTAATGGCACCATTTGTATTTTTTAATACTTATAATAATGAAGAATTATTTGAAAAAATTATTTGGAGTTCTGTTGGAAAATTATCTCTTGTTGAAGTTAACATCTTCGATAGAGACATTTATGTGAACAATAATATATCTTGGCATAGACTGGTAACTTATTCAAAATAATTTAGAAGTACAATTGACTTTTGAACAATGTAAGGCTAGGGATGCTGACCACCCCCCATGCAGTCTAAAAGCCACGTATAACTTTTGATTCTCCAAAAACTTAACTACTAACCACCTACTATATATAAAGTAGGTCCATTAACTTCAGATGCAACAAAGAGTAGAAAGTAAAAGGAAATAGGAGGGTAGTAAAAAAGACAGAAAAGCAAGCAAGCTTACTGGTCCCTCCCAGGGTTTACACCTGCCTGCAGGTGGATCAGGCCCAGGTTGGGAGGGACACACTTGGGAGATGCAAAGGTTTTCCTGCCTCCTTCCTCTGAGTTGTCCAACCAGGCCCTAGTTCTGCTGCTGCTCTCAGATCCTGGTGTTTCTGGTTCAAAGAGCGGCTAGTTGGTTAAAGAGTGTGGCTAATAATAAATACCAAGATCATGTGATTGATCCCCATATGGGTAGGGGCCATTAGGTATAAGATTTTTCCTTTTTGATTTCTCTCCACTGTATCACCTGTGGAATCTGCTGCTTTACATCCAATTACAGATACTGTATATATTGGAAAAAAAATTCACAGGTAAGTGGACCTATATGGTTCAAACCTGTGTTCTTCAAGGGTCAACTATACTCTCCATAGGTACTTGCTTATGTATATGTAAGTACAGGGTGAATCCTTTGTCTTAGAAGGGCTGTATGAATCTAGTTTATCATTATAAAGTCAATGTAATAATTTGTGAACCGTATTTTGTTAAGTGGACATTTCTCTATTACAATGAATGAAGAACAGACTCAACCTTGAGGCAAAGGAAATAGTTAGGAGGCTGTTTGTCATGTTCCAAGTGAGTGATTGTGGTTGGACTAGGGTGGTAACAGACTGCAAAAAAAAAGTAGTCCACCTGTAAAACTTTTAAAAAGTGATAAAGTCTTCCAAATTATTGCCACTAGTACTGTTTTATTTTTGGCTCTTGTCGAAATATTGCTTTAACCTGCTGTATTTTATTCAGTGTTTATGAGATCTTCATGAAATCAAGATCCCCTCTCTCTAAGCCTTTTTTGGCTGAATTATAACACAGAAAATAGTTCATTTGAACATAGATGTCTGAACTGACAACAAGGACTTTGTGTTGGTGGGTCCTGAATACAAACTTAAACAAAATAAGGGAATTTAATTCTACAGTTATATATGAATTTAATTGAATGTTTTCATCAGAAGTATTTTTAAAACAAAATAAATGAACTAAATTTTCTTAACTGATTTGTTACCTATAGGAATTCTTCCATGCTGCCAGAAACAACCAATCTTTGTTTTCTAAGCTAAATGAAGAGAAAATTGTTTTTTTCTTACATTTATTAGGAATAGATACAAATGGACATGCTCATCGACCATCATCAAGGTAATTTTAATGCTGTGTTTAATTCTGTGTTTTTGAGGGATGTAGCTTTTCTGTTTTAACTGTTCAAGTGCTAGAATGTTTTCTTGGTAGTTATCACAACAGAATTTATATTTTACATAGCTCTAAAGTGAAATAAGTTCTCAATCATATATGATGTAGTATGAGATAGTGGCTAAAACACATGAGCTATGATCAGACTACATAAAAATATAAGTGAGTTATATCCTGTACATATACTCCATATTCTTCATTTGTGAGAGAAAATAAGATGTAGTAGAGATATTTCAGTAAATCTTGAAGTAAAAATCATTATTATTAAAAATGTTAATATATATGTATCACGAAAAGATGTAGTTAGCTGTTATGTATTCCATTTAATCAGTATTACATCTAGCAAATAATTGTAAAAAGTTTGGTAAACTGTATTTCAGTAGACTTCTTATCTACAACAGCAAATATTTTATCACTTTTCCAGACCATAAGAGGAACAATCCATGTTATATACTTTTATTCTTTATTTTGAATTTGGTTTAGATTAGTCTAACTGAATGGAAAAGCCTCTTGGCTAGCTGCCAGTAACAAATAGTTCATGCTTTGCTCTTTAACATAATGCACTGTTTTAAGTGATAAAATTCATACCAAACCAGCCTTGTTCAACTGTGTGGAAAGCTTACATATAATTTGTTTCAAATATTACATTATACTACATTACTTTACATTATATAGTATAGTATAATGTTTCCTGTTATGTTGTATATCATAAATATGCTAAGGAATAGAAAATATATTTGAAACAGACTTATCTATTAATGTGTCAAAAACAATATAGTTTGCATTATGAGAGACATGAAAGTTGCAATTCCGACATCTGAGACTTAAAAAGCATTCATTAAAATATTTTCTAATCAATACAGTCCTTGAAAATCATTCTGAAAACTTTCAGATTCTTTTAATGATTTAAAAGGAGAGAAAGTTATTTTTAATGATCTAAAAAGTTCTGACATAAAAATATTAAAGGTGAAATCTAAAAGCATTTCAGGAGTTACTGACTTTGAAATAATGAGTTCATATTGAAGAAATTTGATTTTTCCAAATTAATATAATTTAATTTGTTCTGTTTCTTTTTAAACAGGGAATATAAGGACAATATTAAAATAGTTGATGATGGAATAAAAGAGATTGTATCCATGTTTAAACATTTTTATGGAAATGATGGGAAAACTGCATTTATCTTTACCTCTGACCATGGAATGACAGACTGGGGTTAGTCTGTGTTTAAGTGATAAGTACTTTATGATTAAAACAGTGGCAAATGTAGCTTGCAGAATCTTATAACATTGAAGAGGATTAGATGTCTTATAGAAGTGTGTGGCACATGGTAATTGTATGCCTAAAATTTTAGTGTAAAAGACTGATCTTATATAAAGAATCTTTCTTCTAACTGTAAAAGGGATATATTCTCATTGACAGTGAGAAATTAGAGAAAAATGTGGAGAAGATAACAAAAAGTACCCATTATTTATCCTGCTAGAGTTAACTGTGTGAGATAGCAAAGGAGATGAGGTTAAGGTGGGATTACTGAGGGATCTGGAACTACTGAAAATCCACCGTCCCTGAGCCTGTCCAGCCTGTGAGATTCCCGAGGTAAACACATTGTGTGCACAGAGACAGAATGAGGCAAAGATGGGGCTTGGGTCCCCAAATCACAATACAGAATTCAGGTGAGCTGGTTCTACTTTATAAAGGGCTTTTGGCAACACCAGCCAAAGCATCCTGGGAAAGAAATCACCTAGAGCCTTTGCCATCCTTTCCAGAATGGGCCTGGCCTCAACTGCTTGCCAGAAACTCGGGTGGTTACTCCCCAGAGGAGCTTTCCCTGTTCTTTCTGCCTTCAGCACTGCTCTGGTGACAGCTCCTCTGAGTCGTGCTGTTACTCTTGTTCTGACCAGAATCGCTCAACAGACATGCTGCTTTCATTTTTGTTTTTGCCTATTTATTACTGATGCTCTGACTTGCCTTAGGAATATTTTAAAACTTGTTATAAAGCATTTGGGAATGTGGTGGCTAGAATTAGCTGTATATGCATCAGCTCTTCAAAACTAAGTATTAAAAAAAATATTTGGTTTAAAGTTAGTTCTTATATATTTAATTACTCTTGGTGTCTTATTTGTAGGTGCCCATGGGGCTGGTCATCCCTCAGAAACTTTAACTCCTTTTGTCAGCTGGGGAGCTGGAATCAAGTATCCCCAGAAAGTATCAGCTCAGCAATTTGATGATACATTTTTGAAAGGTATAATTATACACTTATCTTTATTATTTTTCTTAATAACATTTTAAAGTAAAAACCATTTATCTTTAATGTTTTTATTAGCACATTTTAAAAGAAAAACCAAAGCTTAACTTAAAAAAAAATACCATTTTTTAAGTTGTAGTTTTATTTTGATATTTGTGTCATTATTTCTATGTATTACTTTTGTATAGTTCACATTACTTGGTTTATAATACTCAGCTTGAAAATCACAGTGTGAGTTATTTGCCATATGAAAGTTAAAGTATAAATTGTACTATTGCTTTTTTCACAAGCCTTATTGTTACTTGGATTGAGATTTAACTCTTGAGTCAAATCTTACCTGCCAATACTATCAACCAGAAAAGTCACACATATGTCTCATAACTGGACAGATTTTTCCCTTGACTCTAGTACTTTTAAAGGCTCTCTGTGTTGCACAAGCCTCACCTGTTTCTCAATCAATGAGGAAAAGCAATTCCTTTTTCTTGGAGCTCTGCTTATTTTGTAAGGTAAGGTTTTTTTCAGAGTGCCAAAGTTTTACTAACCAGGCAGAATAAATTCCTTTCAAATGCCAGGATTAGTTGCATAAGACTCCTCCAAAGCACTTGTTAAAAATACAGATTAAAAAGCAAACAGATTTCCAGACTTTGTCACTAGCTATTTTGATTGCAAGAGTCTGGTTGAGGCCTAGAAATTCTCTTTTTAAAACCTTCTCCATTATTTGGACTCACAGCTATGTTTAGGTATTTCTACCATAGAAAACTCCTTTTGGCTTATATAATAAAATTTCCTTAGACTCTTTCTTTCTTTTTTGAACTCACTTTTTTATTGAGATATAATTTTAGCAAAATTCATGTTTTTAAAGTGTACAGTTCAGTGTTTTTTATTGTATTCACAAGACTGTGTAATCACCTCTGCTAGTTACAAAACGTTTCATCACCCCTATTCCTACCCCCCCAAAAAAAGCCCTTACCCATTGGCAGTCACTCCCTCTTTCCGTCACCTGGAAACCATTAATCTACTCTGTCTCCATGGATTTACCTATTCTGGACATTTCATATAAATGGAGTTATTCACTCTATGGTCTTTTGTGTCTGGCTTTTTTCATAATGGCATAATGTTTTCAAGTTTCATCTTTGTTACAGCATGTACTTTGTAGTTGTTTTTTTATAGCTGAATAATGCATTGTATGTATATACTGTATTTTATTTATGTAATCTTCTTAGGACATTTGGGCTCTTACTTCCATATTTGGTCTCTTATGATGCTGCTGCTATGCACATTTGTGTAAAAGTTCTTGTGTGAACCTGTGTTTTCATTCCTCTTTGGTAGATACCTGGGAGTGGAATGAATAAATGGGTCATATGTAACTCTATGCTTAATTTTTTGCAGACTGCTAAACTGCTTTCCAAGGCAGCTGCATCATTTTATGTTCCTATGCTCTGGTAAATGGGTTTGATTGGGTCTAATTAGAAGCTAGGTAAAAAGTATGTTTGTACTTTGGAGGTAGAACTGTTTTGGCATTTGATTTCTCAGTGAATTCATGTTTTACAATACTTAATGACTTTAAGAATCATTATAGAAAGAATGTATTTTTTCTTATATGAATATTAAGTACCAACTTAAAAAATGGAATTATGTGTTTTTTTTCCTCATCAGGTGATTGATGTGAATTTTTAGTAACTATATAACATAGTTTTATACTTTATTAGCTTACTAGAAGAAATTTCATCATAAAAGTACCTTAACACCCTTTGGTAATATATCTTAAAGTCATTAAATCAAGACATGGTCTCGTAATCCTTTGTATATATTGTGGTTGATTGAAATTTCTGAATTTATATGTAGAAATACAGGGGAATGAGATTATCTTTGAAGACAGGTTTAATAGTAACTCATGATACTATTTTAACATTTGGGATTAGTGAGGGTAGGAGCATCATAGCTACAGTTCCAAGTATTTTGCAAGCAGTTGTCATTACAGAAACAAAGAAGAGCTTTGATTGACTAATAGACTTTAATTGCCTCACTCACTCTCTCTGGGACTATTTAAAAATATTTGGGAAGATTAATGCAGTTGCATTAATTAATTAATCCTGGAACAGGACTGCAATGAGTTTAAGTCGTGCTGACCATTCATTGTGCCTTTTCCTTTCGTCTTTCCTTCCTTAGCCTTTTGAAAGAACTGGAAAAGGCGAGATGTCTACCAGGTACTCATTTCAATTTAATCACATTCAAATTTAATTTTATCTCCTATAAGAAGTGTAAACAACAAAAAGTCTAAGAAAAATCGTGTATTAATAATAATAATGAAAAAGGATTTTTCAAAACATTTTCAATTTCCAAGGGAAATGCTTTCAGTATAAATATTTTAACCCGCCTCATCTTTCTTTTGGCGAAATAAAAAAAGTTCCAAGTAAAGCTAAAAGGAGAAGACTCTCCAGATAACACTGGCTAATTAAAGACTTGTTATGTAAATTGAAATTTGCATGCCTATTAAATGTCAGTGATATCTTGTCATGGTTGCTTTGTTTTTACTTTAAGAACAGATTTAATAAAACCCTGTTACGGGTTTCTTTCCTATAGTGTATCAGTTACCATTTCCTTTTTATTAACACATATTTTAACTTCAGTTCTACCCAGGACCCCTACAACTGCAATTGGAAAAAAAAGCCAAGAGAACAGATTACTTAAGTAGAAACTTCATATTTTAGGAAAATGTGTGGCCAGCCTAATCAAGTTAGAATAGTAACATTATTTGTAAATACAAAGCACAGAGTTTTTACCGCTGAAGGTATGCTATGTGAACAGCCATCTTTACTGTTTGTAAAAGGCATGGTATCTTTGGTATGTGGCTGCCAAAAGTGGCAGGAATAGCTTACTTTCTGCAGATCACCTCACAAGCTCACATTCCTTACTGTAGTGGGTAAACCGAGGTCTGGGATCTCATTTTCAGGCCTGTGGTTTTAGAAGCCTGTTCTTTTTCAGCATGTTAAGAATAATCTGTTCTTTCAGGATGGGTATGTAGTACCCCAATAAATGAAAATGGGTAAAACCAGAATAGCAGTTTGTGAATTTGTGATAAAAATCACTGTCAAAGGAATAAGAATAACTTGACCATAAAACAAGAACATGTTTTACTTATAGCCAGACTGGATCATAATAAAAAACTGATTATAGATTTGGCTATTGCTCTCTGAGTACTCCTACTTCACATAGATGAGAATTTTTTCATTCATTCCTTCTACCAACATTGTTGTATGTGTGCAGTGTATTTAAATATCATGCAAACATTAACATTAAACAGTGTGAAAGGGATACAAAGCCTAAAGTTTAGGGATGAGAAAAGATATTAATTGAACTATTATACAAATAAATGTAAAATTATAGCTTTGATAAATACTACCAAAGAGGCCTGTGAAGCTATGAGACCATGCAGCGGATGTTAACTGTCAGGCACTGTGGTCAGTGAAGGCTTCCTGTGAAACTGAGGATTGGCTAAGATTGAAGAATAAGTAGTTACCAGGCCAGGGCAGAATGAGGAGGGCTTTCCAGGCGGAGGGAGCAATGTGCATAGAGCTCTGGTGAGAGGGACATGGCATAGTACAAGATCTTGAAAGCTGGGATACAGAGCAACAGAGACTGCTAAGCTGTGAGACAGAGGAAAGGAGGCCTTACAAGCTTAGTCCTAAAGCTTAGGGAAGCCCTTGAAGTGCTTGCAGCCTGGAGAGTGACATGATCTGATTTTTTGTGAAAGGATTTCTCTGGCTGCAGCATGGAGAACAGATTAAAGGAGGCCAACAATGGTTTCTGCAGGGAGGGGAAAAGCGATTAGGAGGCTGTTGGACTTTTCCAGTTTTCTGTGGGATAGTACTTCATAGAGAGAGTCCAGAAGATAAAAAGTGAGTAGATTTGAGAGCCTGGGATGCAAACTCCACTTATAAATGGGGGACTAGAGAAGCCATCTGGAAAGGAATCACAGTGAGATTGAAAACACTCTGTGGAGTATGTGACCCAGAAAGGAGGCGTCCACACACGCTGTGGGGAGGTCAAGTAATTCTAATAACCAGAGTAGTCTTTGTAACCAGCATTAATCACAGGATTATTATGTGCCAGGTCCTTTATAAATTTAATTTCATTTAATCATGCCGTAACTCTGTAAGGGAAAAACTTCTATTTATTTCTTAACTGGTAAGGAAAGTGAGGCATTGGAGAGGCAAATCAAACTGCCTAAGGTCTCAGATTTCAAGCAAGGACTTGAAACTGGGCATTCTGACATCCAAGCACTTTACTGCCTAAAAAATTATAAGGACTAATATTAAACCTGTCGATTAGATTTGGAAACATGGAAGTTGTTAGAGATGATAAAGGCTCAAAGCAAGTTAGAGTGGGCTAAGGAATGATGGGGAGATGAGGGTAAATGAAGGCAAAAAGCATAAACAACTCTTCTAGGTGGTTGGGCTTTAAGCAGAACTCTCTAAAACTGTATTTGGGGTCTTTTGTCTAAAGAGCCTCTTGTCTGGTTTATGTCTTCTGGAGTTCACTGGCTGGCCAGCCCTTCTGATACATACATTCTTTCTTCAATTTTATTTAGTTAAGGCATTCTTTCATAATACTGAAAAACTATTACTTGAAGTGACAAAGTTTAGGGATGAGAAAAGATATTAATTGAACTATTATACAAATAAATGTAAAATTATAGCTTTGATAAATACTACCAAAGAGGCCTGTGAAGCTATGAGACCATGCAGCGGATGTTAACTGTCAGGCACTGTGGTCAGTGAAGGCTTCCTGTGAAACTGAGGATTGGCTAAGATTGAAGAATAAGTAGTTACCAGGCCAGGGCAGAATGAGGAGGGCTTTCCAGGCGGAGGGAGCAATGTGCATAGAGCTCTGGTGAGAGGGACATGGCATAGTACAAGATCTTGAAAGCTGGGATACAGAGCAACAGAGACTGCTAAGCTGTGAGACAGAGGAAAGGAGGCCTTACAAGCTTAGTCCTAAAGCTTAGGGAAGCCCTTGAAGTGCTTGCAGCCTGGAGAGTGACATGATCTGATTTTTTGTGAAAGGATTTCTCTGGCTGCAGCATGGAGAACAGATTAAAGGAGGCCAACAATGGTTTCTGCAGGGAGGGGAAAAGCGATTAGGAGGCTGTTGGACTTTTCCAGTTTTCTGTGGGATAGTACTTCATAGAGAGAGTCCAGAAGATAAAAAGTGAGTAGATTTGAGAGCCTGGGATGCAAACTCCACTTATAAATGGGGGACTAGAGAAGCCATCTGGAAAGGAATCACAGTGAGATTGAAAACACTCTGTGGAGTATGTGACCCAGAAAGGAGGCGTCCACACACGCTGTGGGGAGGTCAAGTAATTCTAATAACCAGAGTAGTCTTTGTAACCAGCATTAATCACAGGATTATTATGTGCCAGGTCCTTTATAAATTTAATTTCATTTAATCATGCCGTAACTCTGTAAGGGAAAAACTTCTATTTATTTCTTAACTGGTAAGGAAAGTGAGGCATTGGAGAGGCAAATCAAACTGCCTAAGGTCTCAGATTTCAAGCAAGGACTTGAAACTGGGCATTCTGACATCCAAGCACTTTACTGCCTAAAAAATTATAAGGACTAATATTAAACCTGTCGATTAGATTTGGAAACATGGAAGTTGTTAGAGATGATAAAGGCTCAAAGCAAGTTAGAGTGGGCTAAGGAATGATGGGGAGATGAGGGTAAATGAAGGCAAAAAGCATAAACAACTCTTCTAGGTGGTTGGGCTTTAAGCAGAACTCTCTAAAACTGTATTTGGGGTCTTTTGTCTAAAGAGCCTCTTGTCTGGTTTATGTCTTCTGGAGTTCACTGGCTGGCCAGCCCTTCTGATACATACATTCTTTCTTCAATTTTATTTAGTTAAGGCATTCTTTCATAATACTGAAAAACTATTACTTGAAGTGACCAAGTTCTTAGCTACTAGGATAAGTAACTTTTCGTTTGAGTATGCTTTACATTTAAGGGTCTTAATAAGGTTTCTTTTCAAATTTATTTTCTCATAAGTTCCTGTACCTCTAACAAATGATATTTTTAGAGATTAGTATTTAGTCTGTATTATATAAATGTTTGAAGGTAATGGGTTAGAAAGAGTATCATGGTGGTATTTCAAAATACACTTGCATTAAATTATTTCATTTCCTTGTTGAGGTCTGTAGACTTAGAATTGAACTTTTTCTGTTTGTAGGCTGATATTGCACCTTTGATGGCTTCTCTTATTGGCGTACCCTTTCCCCTTAATTCAGTGGTAAGGAATAAAATTTTCTCATCAACTCTCAGAATAAAAAGAATTATTGAACAGTAAAATTTACCTTTTATGTGTTTCTGAATAATTTTTGATTTACATTTAAAGCTGTATTTCCCTTTATATTTTTGTAATATATATAATCCCTGTAATTGTGTATTATAATGTACATTAAGTACAAGCCTGATAACTTTTCTTTAAAATTTTTTATTTTCTTAAATGTATACAGATTTTTATTCTTTTATTTTAGTTGTAAGTGATGAATATATACAAATAATTTTTTTATTGCAAGCAGTAGAAACCGAATCCATTTAAAAAGGGATTTATTAAAAAGATATTGGTGGTTTGCTGAATCAAAGGGGTGCTCAAAAACCAGGCTTGGAAATGAGCAGGAACCAAGAGAATTCTGGGAACTTGAAAGAAAGAACCAAACAGCTCAGGACACCAATACTGGGGAGATCAGTGTTACACCTGCTGTGCTTTCTGTTCCTTGACTCTCAAGGGCCAAGTTCCAGTGCTTACCATTTGAGAGGCCTTGTCTGGGGTATTTGTCTACCCGTCAGTAAGAGAAGGCAGGGCCCCATTAGAGATCCATTATGCTATATGCAGTGGGGAGATTTCTCCACATAGAATGGTAAATGATAGTGCTTTAAGAATGGAAACTGGGTGCTGAAAAAGCAAACAAATAAATGTCCATTCCAGCCAGCTATTCTTATAAGCTTTGTAATTCCAGTATTAAAACAGTGTTTTATGTTTTGTTATGTACAGGGAATCCTTCCTGTGGATTATCTTAACAATACTGATCTCTTCAAAGCAGAGAGCATGTTTACAAATGCAATACAGATTCTTGAACAGTTCAAGGTAAACAAGACAAAACTAGACAGTACTACAAATTTAAAATCAAACATATTAAATGAAAATATTTGATTTTGTGATTTAAGAAATTATTTTCTATAATTTATTATCTTTAAATTTTGCATATTTGACTAATGTCACGAAGTTTCATATTTCTGAAGTGCATGTCCCATAACTCAGTTTGAGGGTGTAGAATTACCTCTGAGGAGTGTCCCTTATTGTAAGACTACCACATATGCTCCTTAAGACTAAAACCGAGTCTCTGTTGATAGGACTTTGCCCACAGAAGTAATATTAGAGATTGCAACATTTCTCATCATTCATTGTACATTATTGTATGCATTGAGAACTTAAAGGAGTGACCATTTAATGAAACTTTCTGTTCTTACTACTCTTAATGCAGCTTGCTTATTTTGTTTTCTAAGATTTAAAGAGGTATAGTTTACATTACAGTATGTTATTTTGTAGGCTTGATGTGCTTAATTCTCAGCTTATTAGCATGATAATGTTAAATTTTTCCTTAAATATTTATGAAATAAAACAATAACACATAATTCCATTTACTTTCAAAGAAGTTAATATCCATTCCTGAAGAGCAGTTTTAATGGATGTTTTTATTTCAAAATGAAATTAGTCAAATTTTTTCTCATTTGTAATATAATAAAATATTTTCATACTTGGTTCCCAGGTGAAAATGACTGAGAAAAAAGAAGTTACCTTACCATTTTTGTTTACACCATTTAAGTAAGTCTCTTACACTTTTTATTAACTTGTAGGAAAGAATTTTTCAATGAGTTTGAAAGCTGATAGGATAGATTAGTTACTTGGAAGCTTTGTCTTTTTTGTATACATTAGTGCAATTCCAAAATGAAAGCCTCTTATACTGTTTTTGTAACTAATGAGCCAGATGCTGAATAACTTTGAATGTCTGGCAGAGAAGATATGCAGAGAGATAAGGGAAACATTAAGGAGATAAATTCAAGGAGACTTGACTGGGAAGATGTTGGGGTACTTGGCTTTTAGATTGGGAATATGCTGGTACCATTATGGCTTCTAGAAAGAAAGAAAAGCTGGTTTGCGAGGCAAGGATTAATATTAATGAGTTCAACTTACATTTGAAGATATCAATTAGTTAGAAATAAGGACTTGGATCTAAAGGCAGAGAGAAGAGTTGTTTATGAAAATTTGGGGTCCATCAGCCTAAAGATGGTGGTGGAAACTTACTCATGTTCACAGCCTACTGGAGGTTCTAGGGAGAATAGAAAGCGACAAGAAAAGGTCAGTTATACAAATCTAGGAAACATTTACCATTACTGGTTAGGCAAAGAGGAAAGCAGACTGGTGGGCAACAGGTTTTGCTTTCCCAGGTCCCAGAAAGATGTTTTCTTTGAATTGGGAACGGGGTGATTTGAGTCACAAACCTGGCTCTGCATTACTGACTTGGGCAGGTTTACTCAGTCTTGCTGAGGTTCATTTTCAGTTGGCAAGGATTCATATTGAATTAGTTAGGATTTTGCTCTTGACCAAAATAATTAGAAGTTGTTTGAAATATGGACATTAGGGATATGATTGAATGACTTGATTAAAATTATTTTTATCAACTTATGTAACACTAGTGTGGTATTCATAAACTAGGAAAGCTGAAATATTGCCTTGTCCTCTAAATAATGTGATTGTATCTCTGACTTTGTGTGTGCATAGGAGAGTGAAAACAAAGTAAAATTAGGATTTTGCAAGTTATGATCATAAAATTAATTTCTCTAAATATTATATTTATCAAAGGTACAATTACCTTTGAGGTACAAACATAAATACTAATACAATTAGTATTCCTAATTGTAGAATTACCATATATGCTTATGAAGACTATAAGCCAAGTCTCTCAACTGAAATTTGTCTTGTATCCTATCACATAGTATATGTATCTGTTTATTTATAATGTAGTGTTATAGTCAAACTAAAACAAAATAAATGGACAAGAAATATATTATCAGTTCCCGGTTTGAAGAAAATACACAGGACATTGGAAGTGAGACTGAGAGTTACTTTAGATCAGCCACTTTAGAAAGATGCGTTAGGAAGTATGCTTCAGCAAGGGGTTCAAATGCACACCATCAACCTTCTACTGAGGCCTGCTGGCTGACCATGAACTTCTGCTTTGTGCTCAACATCTGCCTGCAGAGCCTCTGCTGGCTTTCTGTCATCTGGGGTCCAGCATTTCCCACCCCCTGGCTTACCCACCCTGGAGCAACCTACCAGCCCTACCTATAGACTTGTCTGGCTGAAAATCACCATTTGCCAAAAGCCTCTAGTGTAAATCAAAAAGCCTAAGATAAAATGAAGAATTGGCTCTTGAGGAAATAGATAATTTAAGTAACAGAAAAGAACTCAAAACTATTAAAATCCTCAGAAATATCTGAGAAACTATCTTATCCATATAACAAAAAACAGGATGAACTTTACAAAATGAGAAAGAATACAACATGCCTATTTTTAAAAAGGGAAATGCAAATAAAAAGTTACAGAATGATGAATTGTACAAGAATGGTCCAAATGGGGGGCAGATCCTCCAAAGTAGAATAGGAAGTAAATAATCCTCAAGTGAAATGAAATAAATTTTAAGTAATAATATGGATTGAGAAAGAAGCTGGAGGAAGCATGATGGCATACGTGAAAGGCATACATTTCTTTATCCCCCAAAACAATGACAATTGGAAACTTCAGGGAAAAGGAAACATTTGAAACTGAACAAGAAAACATGCTTCAGATATGAAGCAACTTAAGATGTGGCATGATTTTGAACAGTTGCTGGGAGTATAAGAAGGAATTTATTTGAACACTGGCACATGGATCAAGGCTTTGATAAAAATGGTGAGAAAATCTGATTTTGCTACTCAGTGAAAAGTATTTAAGTAATTGTAATGATGTAAATATTGGTTTTCAGCTTTTAGAGTGAAACCTTAGACAAATCAAGGAGGATTGAACTGTGATTATAGAATAGAATGCAAATGTTACCCTCCTTGACAATGTACAAAGTTACTGGTAGGAAGGTAGAGAGGGAAATAATTATAAATGAAATAGTAGTGGTGCTATTGTCCTCATAAAATGTGGAGATTCTGGCTATTGAGAATATTAGAGGTTCAGATATTAGATTATTAAAGTGACTGATCTAGGCAACAGAGGAGGTAAAAACAGTAATATATCCATACTGAGGGGGCAGGAGACAGCAGGGACAGCCAGAGTCAACGGGGAGTCAGCAGAAAGTGCTGTGGGTCATCAAGTCAAGAAATAGTTTGTTATTAAGAATGTTATTAATAAAATAACATGTTATTAATAAAACAAGCATGTTATTAAGAAAAATGGACTTAACTACCAAAATAACCAAAAACAGACACATGTAAAAGTTTTTCTCTCTGGATTGGGGAGCTGAGAAATGAGCAGGCTGGGCAGGGATTTATTGGTTGTTATGCCCTTCTGTACTGTTTTCAGTTTTTAAAATTATATGATTTGATGTAACATACATTAAAAAAACAAGAACTAAGTTGGCATTTTAGTCATTGGCATGAAACATACAATTATAAAAATAATGGGCACAAATAAATTCACTCACTATATAAATTTTAGAATCACCATCTTGAGTTACATGGAAAATTCTTTGAAGTAATATTTAAGAAGTAATTTGGGGAGGAATGACATTTTTACAGTATTAAATTACTAGCTAACATTTACTTATTTGTATCTTCTGTTATGTCCTTAGGTAAAATTTTAGTTTTATGCACTTCTCAATATTTTATTCCTGGTTATTTTATTTCTGTTATCTTTTTTTTTCCTATTACATCTGTTCAGTATACTAGGAAAAACAGTTATTACCATTTACCATCTAAGTACAATGACTATTTTTCTCCAATCCAATTAATCTTTTTCATTTCTATACGATCTGCTTCCTTCCAGTCACCTTTATATATACATCTAACATCAGATTGTCCACTTAGAAACCATTTCAAGTAAATATTTTTATCAAGCACATAAACATTATCAAAGATGAAAGAATACTGTCATCACACATCCTTTTTGCAAAACAGCTCAGTTTCTGGTTACAATCAGTGATGTGATGAAGTCCTTTCCTCTTGATTGTTTTCCTTATTTCCTTTTCCTAGAAATGCCGTATTTCCTTTTTCTTCTTAGAGATATATTGTTCACTCACAATTGTTAAGTTTGAGAAAACCTAGGATATTGACATCTGAAAATTAATGTTTTTGAAGTTTTACTTTACATGATCAGTTTCACCAACATCACTAGATCTAGCTTAATAATATTTCTCCACTCTTTCTCCATTGTCCTATTAGTCTTGTCCAGCATGAATAATTAATGAATAATGTAGTAATCCCTAGGATGATGAAATAGCAGATGTTTTAAGATACAGGAAAAACAGATCGCTAAAATCCTGTAACATAGCTTAGACTTTTAAGAGTCCAATAGCCATATGATAATTGGATATCCTATGTTATCCTATTACTTAAAAAATAAGTACTGTAAATTTTATCTTTGATATTTTAAAGACCACTAGGAAAGAATGAAGACCATGAAATACTCATTCTGACAAATTGTTAGAACTGCTCAAAAAAGAAAACTCAGCTAAAATGGGGTCCAGTGGCCGTAAGGCTATGTGAAGGGATGAGCAGCAGGTGGAGCTACATGACTGGGGAAGCATAAAATGTTTGTGTCTATGTGAAATGAGGAAAACACTATATTTTAAATGTATTATAGAGGTCAAAGTAAGACAAAGAAAAATTTAAAAGAAAAATATTCCCTGAAATGAGAAAAGTACAGGAAAGGTCTCTTGAGATATTTTAGAAAAAAGTAAAAATGGGAAGGAAATATTGTCCATTGCCAATAGAACCAAAAACATTACTTAAAGATCACTGTAGAAAAGAAATGGGAGCTCAGATTTTAACAAAATATTTTAATGTATTTTCTACTAAAATGGCAAAATACTTTAGTTCTTTCTAATATGTTTCTTTTAGGCTGATATGGATTAAAGCTCCTCTTTTGGACCAAACTTAAATATTGGTTTTAATGTGGATCTTTCTACCACTTCACCCATCTGATATACCAGTTAATTACTAGAAATGTAATTTTCTACTTGAAAACTGAAATTATTCTTTAAAAAATATAACTTTCACATATCATATACATTCATACATACATACATTGGAAAATAATCACTCAGTTATGACATGAGTGGGGTACAAGATTCTGCCTAATTGGTCAGTCTAAAGGAATACAAACTATTCTAAAAGTAACTTTTTATCCTGCTTTCTGTCTTTATCTTCTTGAAATATTTTTTCCTTTAATCTAAATAGACAGTCAAAAAAGAAATGGATGAGATATTATAAGGCATCTCTAAAATATGTGTTAGTGCAAGTGAAATTTTTTGTAATAAAAATCAGACTGCAGAAGATACAATTCAAAAGACAGGATTTTAAGGAGGTTTTGTCCTCTAAACAGTAGTTCACCCTGAATAATTGATAATAAAATTCTTGATAATTCTGAAACATGGTTTACTTTCTTCCACAGTATTCAGGTAACTACAGAAAAAAAGATATATAATAGCAATCACGGCAAAAAAATGTGCCCAGTTAATACTTGTTTCTCTTTTTACTTAAGTATAACATGTTGATAATAGAGTCTTTTAAAAGTTGATGTTTTCAATGTAAGACATTTAGTCATAAAGGAAAGTCTTC